CCGGAGGGATCTGGATCTGAGAAGGAGGCACGAGACCTGCACAAATTAGTCACTACATCCAAGGATGGCCAAGGCTGGAAGCTGTCAAATTTCCACGCCGCCCTTGTTGCTCTGTGGCTCTCGGTCTACAGTGGATGGTACTTCGATGGTATTTCATCCTCATCAGTCGATGCGGAGAAGGAATCCGAAGAGCGTACGAAGATGTTCATGTCTTCTCTCGACGATGGCGCCCTTGATTTCATGCTTGCGATATGCTCCAGCGTTAACACCGAGGAATGGGCGGACCCCGCGCGGAGCGAATTAGTGACATTACTACTCAGGGAAAGTGTCGTATCATTGCCTGACCCGGAGCCATGCTCTGGATTTATGAAGGAGCTTTTGATGGAAAACCTCGAGGTTTTCGTGGAATCATGCGTTGCAAATATGCCTGACGCAGTCCGACAACTGAAATCGGAAGAGGACTCACAGCGACTGGACCAGATCACCGCACTCAGAGATGGCCTCACTTCTAACCTCCACCGTGGCTTGGTAGAGGTGCGGACTCACCTTGAGTCCCTTCTTATGATAATCACATTCGCTTTTGAGCACCGACAAGAAGCCGCCCAAGAATTTTGGGCTGACCCTGATGGCAATCTTTATGGATTCCTTCAGTGGGCGTCCAAACGGCAAACTGTTCCTCGGGTGAGCGCTTTTTGCGAAATGCTGTGTTCGATATCCGAAGGCGAAGAAAATGCAGCCGCGGCGCATCAATTCCTGTTGGAGGAAGACAAATTTATGGCCTCCAAATTTAAACGATCCACAACAATGAATTGGTCGCAAATGTTTGCTGAACTAAAGCTTTACGCATCTCGGGTCACTGAGAAGCCTTCCACTACAACAAGCCCCCAAGGGCCGCAAGGGATCTTTCGTCCACGGAAACCAGAGCCCGTGGAGATGAATGAGCCTGAGAGCCCAGTGATGCTGACATGCTACCTTCGGCTGATAGGCCACCTGTGCAAGCAGAGCCGACCTATCCGAGACTGGATGCTGCAAAACGAATCCTTTAATGTAGTTAGCACGCTGCTAGACCTGTGCAGCGGGCCGATTCCATCGCACCTTCGGGCGACTACCTTTTCAACCCTCTCGGCATTGATGACTGACAAATCCTCCACCGTTGGAAACGAAACGTGGTCCCGTCTCGATGGATGGTTATCGGGAGGAACCGGTGCGTCCGGCATTGGCAAAGTGCCTTTGGTTTCCAACCCTGCCGTCTGGCACCAGCAACAAGCCTTGCAGAAGATTGGAGAGAACTTTGACCAGACGAATGCATTTGTTGTTCTCATCAATGCACTTACTGCTCCATCCTCCGACGCAATCGATGACCCAATGTCACTTCCTTTCCCGGAGACCTTAGGTGGAACTTATCGCATGTCCGGGATTGAACCTTACATCGACTTCATCTTGGGGCATGCCTTTTCACGGAAGATTCAAGATCTTAACGAGTATCAATCCCGCATGTTGACCTTCAACTGCCTAAACTTCGTTGTAGCAAGCTTGAAATCCTTCAATGAAGATCTAGTGTTACTTCTGAGCCAGCCATCCGTGTCCGATTCTCCGACGCAGACTTCATCGCTGCTCACCTACGTTCGCTCGCACCCGTTCGCCCGCGTGGTGGAGTGGCTTTTCAACGAAGATGTACTCAAATCTCTGTTTGCAACCTCTAAACAAGACGTTTCGGACGTTGCTACCGCGTCACCTGACTCTGTTTTGGTTCTGACCTTGCACCGGAGTCTAGAGGTCATGAACTTGCTCATGGATCTGCAATCGACATACTTTCACATTGTCAAGCCTTTGGTACACTCCCAGCCCGTGCCATCCCGGACCATCGTCGCAAACTCCTCGCTCGCTTCATTTGAGGACACCGTGCTGAACAATCTGACACTTATCCCGTCACTCTGTCTCTATTGTGGCACGGCACATGAACAACTCACCGTCATTTCCATGGCTTTGCTGGAAAAGCTCACTAGTTCCAGAAAGCTCAACAAGATGACTTCGCCGGAACTCGTCAAGTGGCAATCCTCGAACAAGATTGTGGAAGTGCTTGCCTCTGAGGTCGACGTGGACAGCATATCCCGGCCTCTTGTGTTACAAATGGAACCTGATGTGAGAGAACTTGATTTCGGCCCGAATGCCGCCGGCTATGTCATTCGGGAAAGCCTTCTTGCTCTTTTGAACAGCTGCCTAGGGACGATCACAGACCGCCCGACGGTAGCTCATCTGCTGCTGGGCTTCGACTGCGTGGGCAATATTCTTGATGTGTCATCGGAAGGGCTATTCGCAAATCAAAGTTCATTGCTACATGCCATCGTGAATTTCCTAAAGTCTTATCCGGAGATCCTCGATGGTGGCATTATATCATGGGTAGTGCACCTCAAACGAATGGCTTTCGAGGTGCTGAAGCATCTGTGGTCATCGAAGCTGGCAAGCTACTACACCCTTGGTGAAATGCGCGCTCAGGCATTCCTGCGCGAGATGTTTGCCTACCAACCGATCATTGGCCCGAGCACGGGCTGGAATGGATTTCCTATCGATTCAGAGGAATTTTGGCTTACAGACGCTGCCACTGCCTTGGCGGAATTCCTACTTTACCGAAGTCACCTCTTCACATATGCCGCAACCGAGGTTCGCTCAACAGCAAAGGCTAGATCACCGGCTCTACATGCCCAAATTCTTTCGGTTTTGCTCGGAAATACTCTAACAGATAACGGTGAACCAATCTCAAGTCCGTCCGTATTTGATCTTTTCGATTTCGCAGATCTTGATGTTGGACGCGAGTTCAAGATGCCCCAGCTTTACTTGCTCGGTGATGTTGCTCTTCAATTAGAAAGCAAGCGGGAGGATGGCGTGTACAACATGGAGGGGGTAGAGGAGATGATTCAAATGCGGAGAGCAGAGCTCACGGCCAATGGACCGCTGCGCCCGCATGATGAGGAGCAGTTGCTTGCTGAGGCCAATGATCTCAAGTTGTTCATTCTTGCAACAAAGCAGAACAACCTGATTCAAATCAATCGCTATCACGCTCTCCGTTCCTGGGTAGAACTCCTTGCTACGATGATAACTTGCTCTGCTATCGATGAAGGAAGCAGGCCGGCTTTCATTCTCCACTCAATCCAATTGATTCTCCCCAAGCTTACAACGGCAATTGAGGCAGATCTTCCCGAAGCACTTGAACTGGCACGATTGGCTGAATTGTTGATCGGAAGACTTGCGTCGGAGCCATCGACAACAGATGCGTCTCGAAACGGGGATGTCATTGACGAAAAGCTCCACCAGCTCTTCCAACTCTGCATCCGAGGTACCAACTTGGCAACAGGAAATGTGTTATTGAGAGAAACACTTTACAGTATTTGTTCCCACTACATAATACGCATCACATCGTCGAGCAAGGGCCACGAAAACCTACGACGTCTTAGCCAACATGTCATCAAAGCGGCCGGTTCTAGCCTGATTGAGACCATGTGCGATGACGCCTACACTGGCCAAGAGTCCTGCCGTGCATCCGCTCTTGTGCTGTTGAACAGTTTAGCTGTTCTAGATCGCCAAACCGATTGTGTTCTGGCCGAATTAATCTCAAGATCAAACTATTTGAGTCTATTCCTGGATGCCTTGCGGTCTCTTCCCATCGAACTTCACAATGCCCAGGCAAGCGGTCAGTAATTTCCCCTTTGAAACAGCCACGTTATTATAACTAATCAAAACTTCAGATACCCCGGCATTACTGGCATACTACGAGTCGCTTTTGTCATTACTTCAGCGGCTGTCCCAAACCAAGGTCGGAGCAAATTGTGTGCTCAACTCTGGTCTCTTCCAAGCTGTGCACGAATCACGACTTTTCGCTGCTGATCCAGACATCGGCATTGGTCAGTCATACATATCCAGCTCCAATTATACCTTGCTGACCTCCTCAGACATTGAGAATCCCGATGCCCTTCAGAGGTATTACGATCTTCTCCTTTCGGTCCTCCAGGTCATTGTATATGCGGTGTTCTCCCGAGGTATCCACAACGAACAGCTTAAGGAGCAGACTCGGATATTTTTGGCCGAAAACCGACCATGCATGGTGGGAATCTTCAAACGATCTGCGAAGATTGGAAATACATCAACCGCCCACCACGAGACCCTATGTGAACTAGTCAAGACATTCATGGCTCTTGTTACCGCCACGGATTTCATGGAGGTATGTTTTCTTTTCCTGCAATCTATCGAACCAGATTGAATTGTGTGACTAACTGAGTGTAGTTCGAGGAGCAGGAAGTCCAACATATCGCCCGCCCGGCGATGTTCTCATGAGTCTTTGTCTACTGGTGCTCACTGGAAAAATTGAGAAGAAATGCATGTATCATTATGACCCGGTGGAGTGCAGGCGGTTCCCAGGTTGAGCGATTTTACTCTGAATTTATTTTGCATCACATTTAATCTGTCATGTGTAAGACGTCCGTCCGTTTCGACCGTTCGGGCCTTGCTGTGGCTATCTTTTGTAGAAATGAGTGCTATGTTCGCTCTTGTCGAAGTAAGAAAGTCAACAAACAAGTTCTAGGGTCGAGAGGCTACATTTCTCCGATGGATAACTGAGGTATACCCAGAAAATGCACACCCCGAACCTCGTGTTGAAGGTCATGTACTACATACAACCTTTTGGGGCCCTGATGAGATATGTATAGTCCTATGATTCATGATACAATGGTATTGTACAATTACTCATTTGGACTCTCGCATCATCTTTAATCTACTTGGTAGAGGCATTGGCCATGTATCTTTTTTGATGTCTTTTTTGATGTCTTTTCTGATGTCTTTTCTGATATTGTTTTTCTTAGCTGTTTTTGTCTTCTAGCCAGCACAGCCAAAATAACAGATATAAATCAGCCTTAGAAAGAATGCCCTAACTCCCATCAATTTGATAGTCCCAAGTTAACTGTCCATATAGATCATCTTGGGGTATATCAAGTCAAGTCCATACATACATGAAGTATGTAACTAGTATACATATGTATAGTATAGTAGCAATACCATGGCTTCTTGCCCTAACTGGGTTGAATGGCCACCATCGTTCCTTCCTGTATAGCTCCATCATATCCTGTTGACCATCTCATCGTACCTTCCTGTTGCCAGTGCCCGTTGCCATTGCATTTATACCCCTCCAAGTCCTGTTTTCTTCTTCTTCTTCTTCTTTCTCCTCTCCCCATGCCACTGGCTATTTTTCAATTGCTCTTGCTTTTGACTACTGATCCCAATTTTTTATTGCTTTCAAAGCTTTCACCATGCACCCTTCTTCTTTTTCTTCTTCTTCTCCTCCTCCTCCTACCCCTCGACCTTCTTCCTCTTCTTCTTCTTTTGGCAGAAGACTTCATCCTTCTCGCCGCCACCTCCTCACTAAATACCGCCCTGCTCCCCTGAAGTCATGCCTCGCCGCCTCTGATCGGGACTCCGCCCCCTCTGGAGAGCCTCACGCCCGCAAGACAGTCCATTTCCCCGAGGACAAGCTCTCCCTTGAGCGGGTCATAAGAATCCCGCCTCGCGAGGATCGGTACAAGAAGACCTTCTTCAAAAGAGGCCAGATCGCGGACACGAAGTCGTTCCTTTTGTACACTTCGGATCTTTCGGGCTCGAACCAGCGGTTCCTCTCCAAGCTTCCTGGAAGCGATGGACCTCAGTACGAACGCCATTCCCAGTGGATGAGCGTTGTCCGTGCTCGCCAACTCGCCGCTGCGTATTCAACTCAGCCCCGTTCCCCGCGATCCGCACCTTCCTCCGATGAGTCTACCATGGACATGGCTTCCCTGAAGGACGCCCTGCCTGAGCCTGCCTCGGCTAGCTCACCGCATGGGTCTGCCTTCGACATGTCCTCTCTGACCGATGCCTTGCCGGACCCGAATGTCACCTTCGACATGCGCTCGCTGATGGATGCCCTGCCTGAGCCTGATGGTTCACCACGCGGGGTTGCCTCCGACATGTCCTCCTTGAAGCGTGCACTTCCCGACCCTGATACTCGGTCTGAAGTATCGTCCCTTGCACAGGCCCCTAAGTCTGTGGTTGCTCCCCACTCCTGCGATATCCCTGCAGAGGTTCGTGTACGTGTGGTTCACACCCACGTGCAGGTTGGCCCCTTCTCCGTCACCTGCTTCTACCGCCTCTGTGGGATCTGCCTTCTGTTGGGGTTCTGCTTCCCATGCCTTGCACCAGCATTCTATGCTGCGCTTGTGCTCCTGTTCGTTTATGGGATGTTCTTCTGATGCTGCCGCTGATGGCCCATATTCGGTGTCCTCGCTCCTTCTTGACTGGCTGGCTTCCTCTTTCTTCCGACTTGCTCTTTCTTCCGACTTCCTCCCTCTCTGCTTTCTGGGTTTGCTCGTTTTGTTCTGTTCTGCTGAGGCTTTTGCCGTTTGCTTTTGTGAAAACAAAAAACCCCCAAAAAAATTGCTTTTGTGTTGGTTGTTGACGTTTTGCTCTGCTCTGCTGAGGCTTTTGCCGTTTGCTTTTGTGAAAACGAAAAAACCCCAAAAACATTGCTTTCTGTTGGCGTTTTGGCATTTTGTTTTTGTTTTGTTTTGGGGATACGGTAAGTACTTTGGAGACATGGGGGCAACGTCTCTGTCTGTGATCGCGCGGAAGGCAGCAGAGCGTGTGGTGGCTCAATTGGATGGCGACGAGGGTAAGTCTTTTCAAGCATCTGATGGCTCCAAGTCCAAGAGCTAACATGACGATCAATTCCAGGTGGGTGGCGGGCGTCGCCGCCAGTAATCGCACTGGCTAAACGTCTCTGTCTGTGAGCACGCGGAGGGCAGCAGAGCGTGTGGTAACTTGCTTTCCCCCTTACCCCAATCCTTTCAGAACAGCATGGTTGAACCGTAAGGTCTTCTTGCTTCGTGTGTTAACATCTTATAGCTCGGTCGAACGTCTCTGTCTGTGAACGTGCGGAAGGCAGCAGGACGTGTGGTGGCTTGGTCCTTTTCTCCTTCAAGGTAAATATGATTCCACTCCGTCTTTTTGGCTGCATACTAACCACACGTCTTCTAGGGGAGGGTTTGGGGGATGTCTCTGTCTGTGAATGTGCGGAAGGCAGCAGAGCGTGTGGTGGCTCGATTGGGGTGGTGACGGGGGTAAGTATACTGCAGACCTCCGACGGTTCTATGCGCTAACATCCACAGTTGGTCGGTGGGTATCGTCGCCACGAGTCGAACTGACCGAACGAAACGTCTCTGTCTGTGAATGTGCGGAGGGCAACAGAGCGTTTGGTAACTTACTTCCTCCCTTGAGTCTATTCCCCCAATCCTTTTGTAGACAGCATGGTTGAGCCGCAAGGCCTTCATGCTCTGTGGCTAACATCGTACAGCTCGGTCGAACATCCCTAGCTGTGAATATGCGGAAGGCAGCCGGATGTGTGGTGGCTTCATCGTTTTCTCTTCAAGGTAAATATGATTCCACTCCGTCTTTCTTTGTTTTGACTGCATACTAACCACATGACTCCCGGGGGAGGGGGGAGGGCGAACATCCCTAGCTGTGAATGTGCGGAAGGCAGCAGGATGTGTGGTGGTTTCATCGTTTTCTCTTCAAGGTAAGTATGATTCCACTTCTTTCGTTTGGACGGCATACCAACCGCATATCTTCCAGGAAGGGCTTTGGGGACGTCTCTGTCTGTGATCGCGCGGAAGGCAGCAGAGTGTGTGGTGGCTTCATCTTTTGGGTTTCAGGGTAATATGGTCCCACTCTTTTGACCTCCTTGTCGTCTATTGCTGACCGCGCATCTTCCAGGGAGGGCCGGCGAACGTCTCTGTCTGTGAACGTGCGGAAGGCAGCAGGACGTGTGGTGGCTCGCCTTTTTGGCGAAGAGAGTACGTTCATGCCTTTGCCCATGGGTTTCTGTGGTTGCACTAACAGGCTTTTCAGTGCACTCTAGTACTCTCCTACTTCCTTCTTTTCTTCTTTCTTTTTTCATCATGTGGTCTCGCAGTGCGAGGGGTATGAAGAAGAAAATATGAAGTTGAAACCGAAGCCGAATGAGTATATTTGAGTGGTCTGTGCTTGTCTCCAACCCTGAAATGGGCGGTCACCGAATACGAAACCAGGCCTTACTGTTGCTCGTGTACAAGCAACCGTCCAGACCATCATAGGATGTCTATTCAGATATCAGGAATAAATGTTCGGTCCTAGCAATTCCCGTGGTCACGGTCGGTGCTGGACAATTACCTCTGCATTACCTATAGGGCTCCGGTGCCTCTGTTTGCCACGGCGTCACTGTGCGCGAGCGTGTTGATCATGTCAGGCATTGTGGTAGTTGAGACACCAGTGTTCTCGATCGCTGTTAAGAATCGTGAATGGAGTAGGATCACCTCCCGTCGAGGATACCGTTGAAATATCCCTGTTTGCAGCTGTGGTATCAGTATTCATTGTAATACACGCGCTGTATGTGCCAGCGAGAGTGAGGGTGATGGAGCTGGAGATGAAGATGGAGATAGATGGAGATGGAGATGGAGATGGAGATGGAGATGGAGATGGAGATGGAGATGGAGATGGAGATGGAGATGGAGATGGGTCTGGTGATGGAGATAGTCATGAGCAGGACTGAATGACCCTCGTCAATACTTGGCCTACCGATATTTGGGTATTACCAGACTCACAAGTCCATACGAATGAGTATCGCGACTGAGTTTGAGGTTAATGTAGGTGCCGCCAGAGCAGCCTTCACCAGTGACAAGACAATATGAGTTGATAATCGAGATGTTCCCGTTTCTTCACGGGTTATCTTCAAGCACAGTCATTAGACCACGGCATGAATAAATGACCGATACAGCTGCCATGTCTGTAGAGAAGGAATTGAGATTAAATTCTGATCATGTGTCGTCCCAAAGGGTAAAAAGACAAGAGTGATAATCGAGGAGAGAAAGAATGGGATTAGCGCTTTTTTGGTCTACAGCGTCACAGCATCTTCGAATAGCCAATAAATGATAGAAGTGTGAATTGGGATCTGTTCAGTCTAGGGCCAAAGCTTCATACATCATGTACTCTATGTGTGATATAAATATGTTATGATATATGATACAGTAGGTATTCCGGGGAAGCTGTCACTTAGGGCTAATTGTAACAAAGCTCGATGTCGAGACCCGGAATCTGCCCTGTACTGTTTGACTCGTCTAGTTTTACATAGAAGTCGCTTATTTGCTATTGTCGGGATGAAGCCTGAGATTCTGATATCAATATCAATCACTGCTTGATGGTCTTCTCTATAACATGTAGGCCTCGAAACTCGAAGGTCGAGGATTGATATACTCGGACCACTCCACTAATACACGGGACTACTACAACTACAATGGAAATACAGCAGGAATGAAAGCAAAAGCATATTAGGAGGATATTCGAGACTACCCCTAAAGGGCGACATGTTAATCTGTAAACAAACTCGTGATGCAAGAATAGCGCCAGCATAACACCAACCCATGAAAAAAGATAAAAGACAGCATAAACTCACAAGACCAGTAACAAGATCAAGTAAATGTTTATGTATGTTGCAAGAAGGGGGAATAGTTGTAAAGAGACAACCCGCAAAGCCCGACCTGAGAACCAAAACTCTATACAAGTCGTGACGTGTAAATGCGCTGAAATAGATCCAGAGAGGTGGAAAGGGTGTGAGTATGAGGTGACGGGGGAAGGGTATGAGACGCCAGAAATCGGAATGGATACAAGGTTGAGTGCGAGAGATGAGATAAGCAAACGCTCAACGGATCGAGGATAGCAAAGAGATATGGGAAAGATAAGATGGGTGGATCATGGACTGGGGGAAAGAAAGGAAATGTGCCATGTGGAATGACAAACTCAGGTATCCGATGAACGCACTACGGTGGTGTCGGAGTTTGTCCGAACTCGGCGTGGTCGCGAGGCTTATCGCGAGATCGCATGTACATGGCATCCGAGTATGTGTCGGCTGGGGGATCAATCACGCGGGGAAGACTTCTGTGCTGTTGTTGCTGTTGGGTGACAACCTCTCGTGCGTAGAACTCTACAAGCATCGTCCCGTACGACTCTAGTTCTTCGACGGTGATGGCGAGGCGGAAGTCGTTCAGAAGGAGGAACTGTAGTTCCAAGTGGTTGAGCTCCACCAGGGGAAGACCACCAACCTGCATACCATGATTAGTCGTGATCCACGGGTCAGATCAAGAATCACATACCTTTGCATAACGTGAATTGGTATAGAAAACATCAGAGAAGAACTTGCTCGCACAGGTCACGGCAGCGATGACCAGTCGATGGATATTAAAGCTATCAACGACAAAGAAATGTGAAAGTGCCTCAGCATCCGACTGAGGTGAAAGGCCGGGTGAAATTGAAGTATTCAACCCTTGCGAGTCCTGCGCAGTGAAGCCTGTAGATGGGGGAGGTGTCGCCATTAGGGAATCCTGCATATGCATATGGTGGTCTCCTGGAGACTCGGTAGATGCGGACGAAGATCCGGACTCCTCGGCAGAGTCCCAACGTTGGTGCAGGTGATCGAGCTGATCGCGGTTGACCAGCTCCGTCATACGGTCGAAGTAGACCAGCAAGCTTAGGAAGACCTCGTAGGTTGTAGGGCAATATTTGTGAATGCGAGTCAAGTAACTCAGGATGGTGATGGTCGGGACATTCTTTCCGTGGAATGCTAGTACGCTGGTAGCCTGAGGGCTAAGGTTGGAGGTGCCCTCGGGCGGCGGGATGTGGCGATGTACATGTTCGTGATGCATATCATTTGTAGTTGTGATCTTGGTCAAAAGCCCAGCGACCATTTCGATGATCTCCGTGACCGGCATGGAGCTAATCTCATACTGTCGTTGCTGCGATCCCGTTCCGGGAGTGTGGGAGCTCCGCGATCCCACCAGATCTTCACTGGCGAGACTCTGAATATGGGACAAGCTTTGGACGCGAATGCGACTCGGTGAATTGGCTTCGGAGCCTGGCACAGACTGCATGGACTGGTATGTGGGTTGGAGGCGCGGGGAATCCGGCGCTGACTGATTAGAAGAGTATGGGTTGCTCCCGGTCTGGGTTGGTGGGGTATGTGTTGAGGAGTAAGAGTCCGGAGGGAAGGCATGGCTGGGATGAGACGTCATCGAGGGCGGTCGTGGGGTAAAGTTGGGAGTATCGGAAGAAGCACGGGAAGCTTGAGGTGTGTATGAGTTGATGTAAGCCGGTACATCATTCGCATGCACAGGAAGCCGAGCAGAGCCTACGGACGGTGGGGCAGTAGAGGTGGGGGTATTTGAGGAAGAAGTCGAGTGAGTGTCCATTGGCTGGGCGAACGAATAAACTGATTCTGAATTGATTGCGCCTCCCAAGATGTCGTTATGATCCGACGGCACGTGGTTGACGACAACGGAGCCCATGTCAAGGCTATCGTGGTCTGTTTTTCTGCGGGAACACGGGTCAGCCAGGCGGTCGCAGCTCAGCCATTAAACTGGAGGACACAAGTAGAAAAAGAGAATACCAGAGAATATAGAGAGAATAAAAATGATTTAATACAAATACAAGGGAAAAGAGAAGAGAGGATTTGCATACACTTTTGAAATTACCACAAGGGCTAGACCACAGAATCGGGGGAAAGTCCCCGGTCTAAAAAGGAGAGATCGAGGATCAATGACTGTCGATCGAATCCATTGAAAAGGAAGAGAATAGACCAGAAGACCAGAAGAACAGAAGACCAGAAGAACAGGATAAGAGGGAAAAGGACAGGTAATATGGAGGGAGGGAGATATGGAGGGAGTTGGGGGAAGGGGAGTTTGGATCAAAGTGAGGTCAGTGAGATCAAGTTGTGTGTGGCCCGGAGGAAGATGAAACAGGATTCAATTAATTTAAACATTTGAACATTCAACTTGGAACTATGTTGTATTATAGAATATGATTCTTGTAATTCTTGTTTGGACTAAATAATAGTAAAAAGGAAATATATATACAACAAGACAACATCATAAAAAGAGTACTTCAAAGAGACATTATCTACTATCTACCTGTCATCTTAGTAAAGAATTGATATAAAAGACGGTGTAGAGGGTCTATAGGTCAGGATATATTGACGAATGATAGAACGATCTGTGAGCCCGTGTCATGAATGATGATTTGGACAGTGTCTTAGCGTTATTTACTTTTTGTACGGAATACTTACTCCGTATCCTCGGGGGAATTTGATATTTACAACATAGTGCGGGGAGGAATCGATGAATCGATGAATATTAGAATGCTAAGGTGGATATTTCCCGATATATAGAACCATACATTTCCCCTCTCATCAGATATAGACTTGCATTAAAGAATAATAATGGAGGAGCATGGCAGTTCATATGCTGCATGTGGGATGTGACATGTTCTACCTATATCTAACTAACTAACCTTAGAAGGTCTGGGCAGTACTAACAGAAACTGCAGATCTAGTGTTCTGTTTCTGTACTCTACAAAATACTACAATATCAAGTCCCTCATACCATATGGTAATACACCAGGGTATATAAATCAGGTGTTTCCCCCAGTTCAAAGTATAACACTCGGCAGTTATGACCCAATAGGCAGTTGGCCGAACACTTCCGATATAGTGCTTCTTGAACTGTTCGGTCCTTTTCGCCCTACATAGCCCGATGATAAAAGGTGGGGGATATGGCAGCACCCGTAGACTAGTGCCGGACTTGTCATATATTCGCGCTCAGACACTGTATATCCCCGGTGGGGGCGGATAACAGAATGCGAAGACCGGAGAATTGGGATCATGAAACCATTTCATTTGGAGATGGACGCAATATTAGAACACTTATTAATTCGTCACTCCCGGCCCGGTGTAGCCGTTGTCTGGCAGGTAGAGATGTCTCACGGCACCGGCCTTGGTCAGGACCACGAGACGA